GGGGGGAAGTACATGCAAAGAGAAATTAAAGAGAAAACAATCAAAATGCTAAAAAAAGGTTTAAAATTAAGTACACTGAAATAGCAGAAAAGCCCAATTCTGAATTTGTATTTATTTTTCAGCCTTATTATGCAATGTGAAGGCATCTCTGTGTGCTTCTATCATTTACGCTTACTTTAGGAACAGACAGATTGGTGGAAATGGATGAAAAACCATCTACAGCCTCATTTTAGAAATTAAAGAGCTTAAAGCAATTAACTGATGCAAGTCTGTTAACTGAAAGTCTACAGGCTTTCAGACATGTCTGTCTCCTCCTACCATACAATGCTAAGAGGCAATGTCAGAATTTTGGAGAGGAGAAGGAGTCAGTGTCTGAGGAACACATCCCATTCCACACATTACTGCACTGATGAGCAGAGAGAGAAGAGGCTCACTCTCTTACTCCATTCCCATGACCTGCACTCATAAAGGTGCTGTGTCCTATCTGAAGAGGTAAAATTTATCACAAGCAGTCTTTTGTTAATTTTCAAGGCATAATAATGAAATTATTACCCTAAACTCCTCTCTCTTTATATACATATATATAAAAATAAATATGCATGGTTATAGAAAGCCCTTAAAAAGCAGAAAAGCTACCAAAGGGCAAACTATTGTGACTTGATAGCTAAGAATGTCATGTGAAATCTTGGCTTTCATACAGTTTAAGCACAATTTCTATTCTGTGGCTCAGAATTATGGGTATTTAATTTGGCAAGCACTGGGATTCACCAAGAGGAGAGACCCCTCAAAACAGAGGCTGTAAACAATCAAATTCACACAGAATCCAAGATGATAGCTTAAGTGTTTTCATTTTGTTGCAGTCGCATTTACTAAAATTACTATTACATTTTCATTGTTGCATTTACTAAAATACAACAGATGTACTGACTTTGTAGAGGCTTTTTAGAAATAAAAATTCTCATTTAATCAGGTTTTGCAGGAAGTATCCTGAGACTATAGGTTTAGGAATAGGCTCATGCTGTTTTATAGTTTCCTTTCAAGAGTGTATTCTGCACTGGCAATAATGTCCCTATAAATTCTTGAATGCCACCCTAGCTGTAACTTAGTATTTTGGCACATGTACAGATTACTCTTCTGCATATATTCAAAATGTTGCTTTCATTTCCAAGGTTTACATTTGACACCCAGGCTACATCCCATTTATTCATGTATGCCAAGCATTCATACCTGAAAATTCTGACTCAAACTTTTCCTGTGTTGACAGAATCTTTCAATTTCTTGGGACTGAGTCCAGAGGAATTTAAATTGCTTATTTGTTTTTCTGGAGAAAACATCTTTCATAAGCACTTAGCTCTCTTTAACAATCTAGCCTGCACTAATATTACTTTATTCTTTAGGCTACTTGTTTAAAATGTCAACCAGAGAAATTTAGTTGAAGGTTTTTTCAAAATAATATATCAGTATTTATTCAAAGTGGAGGTACATGAAAAATGTAGAAAAGTTGCCTCTTCTCTAATGCATAACAGCTATTTTTCTAATCTTGATAGAAGAAAAGAACTATTTACCTGGGTCAGCATGTCCATCTCCCCAAGTAAATTGCTGAACATTTCATCTATATCATCACATGTTTGCTCCATCTGAAAGAAAAAAAAATCCACAGCGAGGGAATCATCAAAAGTTCATTTCAAAGCCAGCAACGGTCAGAAACAGAAGACGCAACGTCCTTTTATACTGCATTCCCAATTAACTTCAAAACATCTGTTCAGGACTTGGAAAAATCTCCATCCATAGTTTAGAAATAACTACTAATAGATCAGAATCTCAATCCTGTATATGCTTAAACACACCCTTGGGTTCTACACTCATTAGGAGTTCCAACAACCTCCTTGTATTATTTATATTTCATAGGAAGTCACTAGCTAATAAACCATCATTGTATCTTAAAAGAAATGTAGCTAGTGAGAGATGGAGAGGGAAACAAAGTTTGAGGTTGAGAAATTCCTGAATGCTTCATCTTGAAAGCTTTCTTTCTTTGGATTAGATGACTAATACAACAAGATTCTATTAGGTGTTATCAAGTGCAGGAACAGGTCATGGTTAGGTACATGATCAACTTTTTGTCTCAATATTTCTCCCTATTTTCTTTCAAACAATAGTGCACCCAGAGAACTCCAGTCTTAGCTGACCTCAAGACATCTGAGGGAGAGCACTGAGACAAGGAAAATGGGTACATGCTGTATGGGAGTAAATGGTGGTTCTAGTTGCAAGATGGGGGCGAGGACAGCACCACACACCAGGGGTGCTGAGATACTGGGGAGATACAGCTTCTGTAATGATCCTCTTCCTCTTTCTCATAAATGTGTTCGTTTGTAGGGAGAAAAGTAGTATAAAAGGGTGTCTGACATGGAACATTGCCAGAGACAAGAACTATAAACATAATTTTCTTAAGATGCCCAAGCCTGTAAGGGACTGAGAACTCTGGCACTAATCACATAAAATTAGGGTTAAACATATAAGCAGTCATATTGTTTCACTGGATTTGTGTGCACCTGTACTGGATTTATGTGGCAAAGTTTTGGTAGTGGAGGGGCTGCAGGGGTAGCTTCTGTGAGAAGACACCAGGAGCTGCCACCATGTCAGAGAGAGATGGTAGTTCCAGCCGGCTCCAAGATGGGACTTGGTGCTGGTCAAAGTTCATCAGCAGTGATGGTGACACCTCTGAACAAGGTATTTAAGAAGGGGTAAAAAATGCTGTGCAGTAGCTGTAAGAGAGGACTGAGAAAACATGTGAGAAACAGCCCTGCTGAAACCAAGGTCAGTGAAGAAGGAGGGGGAGGAGGTCCTCCAGGCACCAGAGCAGAGATTGCCCTGCAGCAAATGGTGCAGCCCATGGTGAGGCAGGCTGTGCCCCTGCAGCTCAGAGCACCATGCTGAAGCAGATATCCACACTGCAGTCTGTGGAGGACCCCACACTGGAGCAGGTGGACATGTCCAGAAGGAAGTTGCAGGCAACACTGTTGGAGCAGGCTCCTGGTGGGAACTGGAGCCTGTGGAGAGGAGCCACTCAGAACAGGTTTTCTGAAGGAGTTTCCTGTGGGAGAGCCCCCACGCCAGAGCAGAGAAACAGTGTGTGGAGGAAAGAGTGGCAGACAAAGCATGATGAACTGACTGCAATGCCCATTCCCCACACCCCTGTACCTCTTGAGGGGGAAGAAGTAGAAGAGTTGGGAGTGAAGCTGAGCCTAGGAAGAAGGGAGGGGTGGGGCAAAGATATTTTCAGTTTTGCTCTTATTTCTCATTATGCTACTGTCTTATTAACTGGCAATTAATAAATTCATTTCCCGATGTTGGGCCTGTTTTGTTCAATGGTAATTGGTAAGTGATCTCCCTGTCCTTATCTCAACCCATGAGCTTTTCCATGATATCTTTTCCCCCTGTTCTGCTGAGGGGGAGTGACAGAGTGGCTTGGTAGGCACCTGGTAGCCAAAGTGTCCTGGTTGTGGCTGGGATAGAGTTAATTGTCTTCCTAGTAGCTGGTACAGTGCTGTGTTTTTGATTTAGTGTGAGAATAACATTGATAATACACTGATATTTTAGTGTAGCTAAGTAGCGCTATCCGAACTTAAGGATTTTTCAGTTTCCCATGCTCTGTCAGTGAGCAGGTCCACAAAAAGCTGGGAGGGAGCATGGCCAGGACAGTTAACCCAAGCTAGCCAAAGGAATACTCCATACCACAGAACATCATGCCCAGTATATAAACTGGGGGGAGTTGGCCAAGAGGGATGGATCGCTGCTCAGACATCAGACAGTGAGTAGTGAGCAACTGTACTGTGCATCACTTGTTTTTTTTCTTGGGTTTTATTCTTCTCTGCTATATTTTTTCATTACAAATGATTATTGTACTTTATTATCGTTATTATATTTTATTTATTAAACTGTCCTTATCTAAACTGACAAGTTTTACTTTTTCTCTGATTCTCCTCCCCATCCCACTGGGAGGGGGGAGGAGTGAGCAAGTGGCTGTGTGGGCTTAGTTGCTGGCTGGTGTTAAACCACAACACAAGGTCAACCCACTACAGCACCTTACAGGCTGAGGACCAACCTGATGCAAGAAAGCAATCAACTGAGAGCCCAAACAACTCTAATGACTATGAAGACTGGCAAGAAAAGAAGACCAGCAAATATACTGTTCTTCCATCTTAATGCTCTTCCTTTAACAGAACATCTTGAATAATGTAACTATTCCATAGTTAAATGATAAAGGCCACTGAACGACCAGTGTATGATGTTTGATAATTATTTGGCAGCATACCTTTAATATGATAGTTCATACTGGGACAATCTGACCTGTTCTGTCTCCTCTGGACTTGGTCTTTCTGGAATCTACATAAGTAAGACCCACCTAATTTACACTTACCCTCTTACCATCTGTGTTATCTCCAACACAAGAACTCATTAGGAGTAGACATGTACAGCTTTCACCACTCAGACTTGGGGCATATTATACCCACTTTAGACTTTTTTTGTAGCTGGTGTAACTAAACAAGGCACAGGCAACTGGGAACCAAACTTTGAACTTTCACAGTTCTCTCAGATCCTGGAAATCAAAGACTTAAAGATTTGGGAACTGGATGCCATTAAAGACATAGGATGTAGCTGGCAGGGCTGAGGGTAGCCGTAGCCCAGACAGCACAGCAAGGCCCATGTAACAGGAAGCACACGTCACACATGACCGAGTGAATGGAGAGCCGAAGTCATCTGCTTCGTTTCCAGCTGACAAACACACTGGATGGCTTGGTCTCTGTATGTATCAGTTATGATACACAGCTTTCTATATAAAATTACATTTCTGTAGATTCAGCAGTATACTGGTTGAGTAAATGATTACTGAATCTTAATTAATTTATTTGAATCAACAGCTGTGTAGCTTCCTACACATCTGGGACTTGGAGAATCAATTTTCATTAAAAGTATAGATAAAATGACACTTATTTGGTCATGCAGAGTGAAGTGAGATTTGTTATGTAACAAAAAAAAAAATGGAGCTGCAGTTCATACTGACAAGTATCTCATCAGTCCTTAAATAATACTGAATAATTTTATGTCTTCCTGTTTTCTGATTTAGGGGAACAAAATATCTGTGGAGGGAATCTTATCAGCTCTAGCCTTTTGTATGTTTTTGTGGATTTTTTAAGCACTGACTAGATTTACTTTCAGGAAAAAGCCTTCATACTGGTTCCTTTGACAAAGTGAAATACTGCTTTGTTGTATTTTTCCAGAATAGATATATAAAAATGGGAAAAAAAATACTTTGGGTTAGGACCAGGAGACCTTACCAAAAGGAGGAGTAAGAACTGTCTAAACAGTTAAAAAAAAAACCCTAAGAACCCTCTTCAGTGGTTAACAAAAAAGGCAAGAGAACTGAATATTTGATTATACAACACTTTCACCAAATTATAGGAATTTTACAGGTTCTAGTAAATTTAGACCTTTTTTCTTTGCAATGATATGATTTTCTGAATCTTCATACACATTCAATTCATAAGGAAGATAATGTAACCCCACAAAAAAGCAATGTGCAAAGAATTCTACAAGAATTTCCACTGCATATTGGAGCTGAGTTAGTCACTGATGACTTTTATCAATTCAAATAAATGACATTTAATACTAGGGTGTTTTTTGACCTTAAGCATGTGGGAGCATGGAGAAGGATTGAATATTTATCTTGAGAAGGAAATATTTCAGTGTCCCTTTCAGTGAACAGACATTCATCACCATCACCAGACTGATAAAACAATGTTGTCACCAAGCCATTGCCCCTACTGGTATCTTTTTCTTCTCTCTTACATTTTTACTGATTGCATTTAAAAAGACAAAATTAACATCATAATCACCAAACACCCTGAAAATATTTTAATGCTAAAACACACTGAATGATGTCTTAAACTGATCCGAAAACTCTCCAAATTCATCAGAGATTTTGTCAAGAGCCAGAAAAGCAAGACAGCAAAATGAGTCCCCAAAACATGGAACTGCAAAAGAGTGTCCATCCATTCACCTCCTCTTTGACTCGTCTCCACAATAACTTCCATTTCTTTTATTTGATTGCCACAGTTGGAACAGGAAAAACAGTATGCAGATTTGTGAACTATCTCAAAGAAGATGCTGCTGCATTTTGGACCAGCAAATTCTTTTGACTTTTATAAATAGCCTTGAACTTAATTAAAACCAGAAACTCAAAGTGAAACCTGCAGGTGTATGAGCTATTATTAACAAAAAAGGGAAAAATATTTACCAAAGGCCCCAGAAGAATATCAAGTTTCATACTCAATCTTCTTCTATATCCACTAAACAGTAACTTTTCTGTGAGGTTTTTCTGCATGTAGGACTAATACTCGTAACTCTTAAAATCACTATCAACTACAATAAACTGAAGAAAAGAAAAAAAGACAGTACTTTTACAATAGGTTTCCCATGTTACGCATAAGATCTTAAGCAGACAAAAAAAATCAGAACTAAAATAAAAAGAGGAAATTGCAGTTGTCAAGAAGAAACATGCTTAGGAGGGGCCTGTGGGAAGGCATACATGTGAAACCTAACCTATTTTTAAACTGACAGATTCTTCAAATTCATGTCTTC